GATAGATAGATAGATAGATAGATAGATAGATAGATAGATAGATAGATAGATAAGGCAGTGGTGAGCAATAAGAAGACACCTAATATTCACTTCTAGCCTCCACATGTACACACACACACCAGCGCCACAGAGGTGCACACAACCATTTTAACAAATACATATACAGTACACACACACAGCTTTAAACAATCATTCACCAAAAGACACTGTGCACAGAAAACATTCTGTTTGAAAATAAGTGTGGTTTAAATGTAAGTATTCCCTTGTCAAAAGTCAGCGAATCTTAACACTTATGATTTGTATATCTCTGTGTAGGTAAATCTTACCTTAGTAAAGTATAAAGTATACAATAGAAAATATTCTAGCTCACTAGTCAAAAGTCACTACTTAAATCATATGGTATAATATGAGCTCTTAAAGGCAGAATCTTGTAGAACGATTTTGTGACTTTTACAAACCCTAGGGCTTGATATTTGGTGGGTAGAAATAATGAAATACTAATAAATGCGTTAAATTTTGAATTCATCCATATTTGATGATTGACAGACTACAGCACAGGAAACTTTGCCCAAATTACATCACCAGGTGTGGCGAGACCAGAGGCCAGACCCGGAGTCCAGGTTCAGCTGGCAAAAAATACAGAGAAGAAATCATTTCGTTTTTGACTGAATGCTTTGTGCTTTCTGATCAATGAGTCTGGATTTTATAGAAAATGAAAAACATCTTCATTTTCTGAGTTTTGCTTTTTGCAAACATTATCCATTTTATACACATTGTTATCTACTAGGTAAAAGAAATACATATTTGAATTTGTATCTCAAATAGAAATACTGAAAAAAACCCAGCAGTTAAAAATTGAAAACACTTGATTCCAGTATGGTTCATCTACAGGAACATTTTGATGTTCAATAATCTGGTTGTCATTTAAACTCAAGTACCCAAAAGCTTGTATTATAAATTCACTTAGAAATCTTATATACTAAATATCACAATTTGATTACCTAATGCAAAATGATCAAACAAGAGACAGAAAAAATGTCTGTCAATTTCAACTGTGAAACATTTCTTTTAATAAATGGTATCTCTGAAAAAATACAGAGGACAAGTGAGTTAAAGTGCAAATAATGTACATTTGCCTTGGTAGTAAGTCTCTGAAAGAATGAATAATATATCTAAAACGTAAGCTGGGTATGGTGTACACACCTTTGATCCCAGGACTCAGGAGGCAGAGGCAGGTGAGTCTCTGAGTTTGATGCCAGCCCGATCTACAAAGAAAGTTCCAGGACAGCCAGGGCTGCACCTGTCTTGAAAAATAACAACAAAATATATATGGTGTGTGTGTGTGTGTGTGTGTGTGTGTGTGTGTGTGTGTGGTGTGGTGTGTAATATATATATATATTCCATAGCTGTAGGCAGTTACAATAGTGTAGTCAATTTATTTTGGGAATTTGCTATCCAAAATTTACTCTACCCACAAAAGATTGCAGATAAATATGACAATTCCAGGATTCAGGATGTGGATGCATAGTATCCAAAGTTCAAGGTCTTCCTTTGCTATACAAAGAATTTACTCAAGCATGGGTACATGAGATCCTGTCTGAAAATAAAATAAAAGAAAGAAAAAACACAATTCATTCTAAGGAAATCCAGACCTTACCGCCTCACATTCTAATTACTTATTTCATTATGGTTACAGGTTTTTTATAAACTGGATGAACATGCTATGGAGCTTCTCTTCAAACACTGAATATGTGCTTATAAGCAAAAGATTTTGCAGGTCATTTCTGGAAACCCATGAGCTAACTATTAATAAAATCTCCAAAATTGAATCATTTTAGCAACACATATAGATTCAGTTAATGAGCAATTAATTCTAGATGCTGGAGAGAGATCTGATTTGTATCTGCAGGCAGGAACCTCCTCCATCTGACAGAAAAAAACAACGCTTTGACACGGGTGGTGCTTTGGGAAGCTGTGACTAAGTGCATGGCAGGAAAGACGTTCATGATCCCATTCCAGTTCCAAAGAAATCCTAAGTCTTAAATCAATGACGGTCCAGTAGTATATTAACAATTCACTGGTTCTATTAAAAATGTTTGGTGTATATAAAAGTGTGTTCAGACCTGTAGAAATAATTGCAAATCCCCAACTCCCACCACAGTCCACCGACACCAACTGGTTGAGAAAACTGAAGGAGGTACACCCTTCCTCCAAAAGACATTTTAATTTGAATATAGAATACTCTTTGAGGGAAGGAAAGAGAGAAGAAGGGAGGGGGGTAAACTATTTAGTGAAATAAAAAAAAATGTACTGTAACTCAACCCCCTGTAATTACAACAAGGATCCTTTAAAATATCCTGAGTTTGTTTGATATGTGATCTGCATTTTACTTCCGACAGATTTTCTTAACAGCAAATTGTTTTTCATTTTCATTTGTAACCTGTGGTGACATAAAGTGAGCCGTGTTCTATAAATTACCATGGAAATTGATGAAGCCAACAGTTTGGCGGAACAGAGCCCCGAGGATATGACAAGCACAAGGAAAATAGGAAGCTTGCAATTGCAGATCCAAATTGGAGAAGAACACATTGGAATTGCAAATTCCTTAATACTAAAGGTGG